GTTCTTCAGTCATTGGCATTCTTGCARATGAAGAGAATAATTCCTGCAATGCATGAAATCTACTAAAATTCCGCGCAATAATAACGGTTTAGCTGACACTTTTAACTCTCACTATRTACTATAGTGATATGGCTTACCGTTTTGACGGTTTGAATCGTTGAAGGGAGATCAGTTCCAACTAGTGTTTAAAGTGAAAGCAATCACTGTTAACTGACCAGAAAGAAAACCTCGGCGTTCACAGTTTTGACGTCCTTGAATWTGAGATYGGAACTGAAAATTGCGCGCTAATGGTTTCCACACAAACAAATGAACTCCAAGTCCAACAAATAGAGACACTTGAACGAMTGAAATCATTCAAGAAAAGTATTATACTTTGAGTGTTGAAGAATATTGTAGACTGCATATTGTTTAAGAGAAAAGGCGCTTTTTTCGAAACTGCTTGAACAAGCTATTCAAGATCACATTGGTTAATGAAGAAATTGCCTCCTTTTGTTTTATGTAATTTAATATATTTAATTTTTGTATTAAACTTATCTTTTCCATAATWTTGTCTAGTTTTAGAACTGAATTTTTCCAGATATTGTATGCACATGATTTCACTCAATAAAAACCTTTCAAACCATACCTCTTGTTTTTCTTATTTCTTGTCATAGGGTAAATAACTAGTAGTRTAGGGGTCAGTATAGCGGTGTCACAACAACAACAAAAGGAAAAAATACTAACTGCTTCAAGCTGCTTAAATGAAGAACTGTTATTTGACAGAGTTAAAGTTATTCTTCGTCTTGATTTACTTSTAGGACATCATAAAGAAGTGGGTAGTTCAATGCTTTAATAAGTGTTTCAAAGAGTTATTGTGCCATTGATTCAATATAATAACAAGGAGCATCTGGGTTGGTCATACAAATATCGCGCAAGCCCCTGATGAGGCGTGTCTTGTYCTTCCTCAGTCCACGTGGTCATATTCGAAGTGACCTTTTGAGAGAAGGTCTTGTGCCAATTGATTTGGACGTTTGCTTCGGCAGAATAAAGACACTGGCTAACCGCTGGGGCTAGTGGATCAAACGGTTCATACTTGGAGAGTGTTTTTAGAAATTTTTACAGTTTTAAAAACATGCTTTTAGGGATTTTATTTTAGCGCGGTAGGATAGAATCTTTTCCAATCCTTATAGACATATTCTTTTACCTC